CTATCTATCTATCTATCTATCTATCTATCCATCTATCCATCTATCCATCTATCCATCTATCCATCTATCCATCTATCCATCTATCCATCTATCTATCTATCTATCTTATCTATCTAATCTTGTCTTGCCTTATCTTGTCTTATTTTATCTATCTATCTGCAAGCGGGAAAACGAAGCTATTTTGCGAGACTTCCTCAGTTTTCGAACTTGGTAACATCAAAAACGCAACAATTCTGCGAGACTTCCTTATTTTTTGAACTTGACAACGTCAAAAACGAAAAACATCTGCGAGACTTCCTCATTTTTAGAAGTTGACAACATCAAAAACGAAGCAAGTCCGCGAGACTTCCTTCAAAAATGGAAAGTTGAGTGCAGACCTGACGGCCTCGTACCAATGCATTTTGCGATTTTTCCACTCCACCTGTCTAAAGTATTGCGCCTGCCACAAAAGAGTGAGGCCAGGTCATAGGAAGTGCTGCACCTGTCACGCAAAATCATCTCAGCGAACCTGAAGATCTGATGCTCCAAAATGTAGCCCCTCTCAGGAAATCAGCGCCCTGACCTCCAAACAGCTCTGATGAACATGTCTCTTGTATTGCGCCTGCCACGCGAAAGACATCTTGCCAGATCCTATATATGTCCCACACCTGCCATCGTTTTAGGAAATCCTACAAAAGCCTCACGTTTTGCTCATTTTTGACAAGGTCCAAAATCCCTTGCGCCTGCCACGCGAAAGCACATCTGAACCTCCAAAAGTGGTCCGAACTCGTCAGTTTTTTACACTTTTGACTTTTGACTTGGAAATGTGCTTCGCGCCACAACGGCGTGCACTTTTTCAACATCACAACTTCCAAAAGTGGTCCGAACATGGTGTGCCCTGTACATTTTGACTTGGAAATGTGCTTCGCGCCACAAAGCCGTGCAACTTTTCATCTCTCATCTGACCAGCTGGCTCCGCACCGGCCGCTCTAGCAAGCCTACTTTTCGACCCTCCGGAGCCACAAACCATTGGAAAAACATAGCGTCACGCGACTTTCCTACCTTTTCGCGCACCTGGATCTTCTTTCTTCTGAGACTTTCTTTTGTTTGATCTTCTTTCTTCTTCTCTTCTCTTCTCCGACTCTTCCCGTCTCTGCTTTTCATCTGTCCATATTGTCGGAAGTTTGACGTCTAAATTTCCTTCGATAAAGATAGAGAAGGACTTTGATGTTCCGGAACTGGGCAGGGAGTGCTCTGAGAAAAGGAAAGATCAAGCTGTTTTTGAATAGCAAGTGAGAGTCCTTGTTTGAGTTGACGTGTGTCACACATGAGAGTAGGGGTCCGAACAGGAGAAGGCTTAGGCACCAAAGCGGGCAGGGTAACATTGGCCTCCAGAGGAAAGCGTCGATGAAACCAAGGAAGGGTTGCTGCCAGGACAGCACATATGACACGAACATGTTTTTTGAAGCCACGGGGGCATACAACATGGTCGAGGACTGCGAAATTTTCTGTCTAGCAAGGGCGCATACGGGCTAGCGTCCGGGGGAGAACGGATTTGTCTGTATGTTACCCATTTGTGGTAATGCCGAGGTCGAAATGCAGAGAGAATACATGTATCTGTGGCCGCGAGGAAATCATGCATATGAATACGTCTGATCAGGTTAGTGCGCACAATAATTTCCATCATCAGCTCGGGCGGGGGCATAAAATAACTGGGCCTACAAAGCCAGGCATGCTTGACACATGGTTGGAATACAATCTTGTGTTGCAATCGCCCAGATTGAGAATTTGGTGACTACGCGAATATTCCTGAACGATATCAGTGAAGTGATCCCAGAAGACAAGCTTGCGTTGGAAGTCAGCTTCGGAACCCGCCAGCTGGGAAGGAAGGAGCATAGATGGAAAAAAGAGCGATTTTACGGGGCTTGGTATTCAGAATCAATATCGCAATGCGCCCCAAAAAGGGATGAAAATCATGAACGAACGGGAGTAGGGAACAATGAACAGCAAATCCAACTCCAGCATATGGTTCTTCAGGCATACCGGAAAGAAGGTATCGATATGCACCTTCGGCAATTTCATTGGAAATTGCTGATTTTGTTTCTTGCGCGCAAAGCAGTTTGACAGAAATTTTCTGGAACGTACCTGACAGCATCTCATATTTTGAGAGACCGATGAAGGTCTCGAGATTCCAGGAGTGGATATAGTGAAATTAGGTAGCGGGTATCGAAAAGACAGGTTCCGGGAAGGCCGGAAACCTAACAGTGATTTTCGAACATATCGATGAAAAAACTCTGCGCGCGAAACAAGGGTAGGTATGTAATATTAAAATGTTGTTTTCTATGATATAATATAATAAAATATCATATGGTATCAAGCCATATCCTCTAAAAGACATTTTAAAATGATATAATATAATACAAAATAACAAAAAATCAAAAAGTGCAGCAAAACATAATAAAAAATACAATTTAATAGATTAAAAAAATAGGATAATATGAAATAATATTATAATATAATATAATGTAATATAATATATTATAATATAAGTTAATATAATAGAATAGAATATAATATAATATAGTTTGATTTTTATTATAATGAAAAAGAATACAATAAAATAGACTAGAATAGAATATACTATAGAATAGACTAGAATAGAAAAGAATCTTTATAGTAAAACAAAAAATCATAATAAATGATTTTTAAGAGAATATAAAATAATACAATATAACGTAATTAAATTTCATAAAAGTTAGTAATAAACTAAAGTCTTATACCAAAAACAAAACATCATATAACATAATATTGTAAAATTCAATATGCCAAAACATAATATACCATAATATGATATAATTGAGTTTAATATATCATAATATATATAATATTACATATAATACATAATAACGTAAATGATACACACATATACATAAATAACTTTGTGTATGTACATATACATATACATATTTATATATATATATATTTATTTATTTATTTGTATATTTATATGTATGCATGTGCATTTATATATATATATATCTGTGTGTGTATGTGTGTGCGCATATATATATATATTTGTAATTATATGTATATGAGCCACGGTCGAAATTTATTGTCTACGTCAAGTGCGCCATCAAGTTAGTGAGTCCCCTATTGTTTTGCAGGCTTTCCTCTTTTTACATATTTTGACAACTATTTACATCTGTTTAAGCATAGTTTTGAAGCACGTCCACTTGGATCCTCATCCCTGGCGATCTTTGTTTGCGCGCGTTGGAGCGCACTTGCGCTTTTGCCCGTGCCTGTCTGGTCCTCCTTCGCGCTGCTTGGGCGGTGTCTTCAACCAGCAAGTCTTTTGGAAAGAAAACGGGTTTTGGCATGCTTTGGCCACTCACAGCTGCTAACCTCAAAATTTATCCAGCCGGGGCACAAAACTTTAGTCCATCACTACAACATACTACCAACATCCACCTGTCCGCCTGTTTTGTGACCAGTCGATCACCCGGGGCGCTTCTGGAAAGATTTTAGTATCGTTTGGGTATCGTTTTGGGTATCGTTCTGCGCGGGCTCCGTGCGAGACTGAATGAATAGCTCGCCGCGGTCTACCAAAGCTAGGCCAGGCAGCAAAACGAGATACTGCATGGAGTTGGCCACTCCAGAATGCCTAGACTGCCTGCGAATAGATGCATGGTTTCCGTAATCGGCTAAAGCAATGTAAAGTCATGTAAAGTCAACCCACCGCATGGGCACACCCATTCATGGTGAAGTGGATCCAACCGTGAAAAAAAAACCTGCCTAAGCAAACACTATGCCCACACCACAGAACGCGCAAGCATACGCAATGAGTCCCCTATCGCTTTAGCAGGTTTCATGCAACAGCCAACATCCGATGCACACTCCAGTACATACTTAACCAGCGCAAAATTTGACGGAATCTCATATACAGCTTATATACACATGATTTTAAACAAGTGTCACTGTCTACAGTATACGTGTAATATATATATATATGTCCGTCTATCTCTCTCTCTCTCCCCTCGCGCTGAGATCCGTGACTCCCTAAGGCCGGAACTGCAATAAGCCTGGCTCATCTTCAGGCTCTGGAGCTGCCTTAGTAAGTGGATTGAAGAGAGCAGATGTATAGTGCACTATAGTAGCCGCACAGAGCAGCCATCATGACTTCAATGCAATTCTAGGGATGCAACTTCCACCTCTACATCTTGAATCTCCTGGGAAATATCAGGAATCTCCCACTGGTCTACCGACATCAAAGAGTAACAGAAAGATGCCTTTTGAAAGCCAAACTTAAGGAGAGAAAAATCTTCGAACAATGAGCAAAACCCAGCATAGCACAGCTTAGCACAGCTATGCAGCACAGATTATCTGCATCAGTCTCTGTCGCAATCGCCGCAGCTTGGCTGCAGTCTCTCCTCCGGAAGCTTCGCAGAGCTGATGGTCAAGTCCTAAGCGAAAGTCTGAGCGCCGACCACCTGTAAAACCATAATGACTATATCTCACAATCTGACCATACAATATCACGAACGTACTCAAGAGATTTTCACGGACGTATTCAGACTTAGATTTCAGTTGGTGATTCCAGCAGGTGATTGCTTGTGATTGAGCCGACTGTCCACACAGCACTTTGCCACCCTCAACTTCCTTGAGGAAGTTTTGAGTCAGTGTCACAAGGCTTCCACCAAGAAGGTGTTAGAGTTCCGCGGAAATCCGACACCGCATGGCTTACACCTAGGCGCACGGCGCATTGACCTATATTATGTAGCCTTGTTTTCATACCGGTCCTCATGTGCCCTTCATGTCGCCTTTGACCTGGCAACGAGCAGACAAACTGAGCCGTGTACACAGCCACACCACCAGTTATCTTGCTGAAGGGCCTGTTGCACAAGGGGCAGGCCTGGCTAAGACGCCCCAAACCAATCCCTTCCTTGCACCCTACGACTGTGCGGCAGAATGTGCTGTTCAAACGCAGGTCAGGATGGCGCATGGCTCAACAGCCTCGGCCATGCTCAAAACTTCTCTGGCCCTGGAACCTCGAGGGCATTGCAAAGGTGATACAACAAGATACAGCCAAATGAAAATTAAAGGACCCGACAACCCCACAAGTCAACTTCTTCCAATAAGGAGAATCAAAAGTTGAAGCGGGGCGGGGAAGGAAGGAAGGAAGGAAGGAAGGAAGGAAGGAAGGAAAGACAAAGGAGGCGGTGGAGGATCGATAAGTATTTAAAAAAAGTTGTACGTGAAGAGTTGTGTGTGATAAAGTTGTGTGTGAAAGATGTGTGTGACAAAATTATGTGTGTGAAAGATTGTGTGTGTGTGGCCAAGTTGTGTGTGCGTGTGACCAAGTTTCAAAGCCGACGCGCCCAAAGTGAAAGCGAGCATGCAGTTTGGCGACAACTAGCTTCCCACTTGACGCAGCCTGAGCACATTGCGCATTGCTTTGTACTCGCGTCATCCCGCGCCCCCGGCCAACGAGGTGACAGACGACATCATGTCGGTCTGCTTGGTACAAGAACACTAGGTCAAAGCTACCACTGCCACAACCAAGATCGGAGAGCACCATGCCGCACTTTAGCTAAGAACCAGCCGCACACAATTGAGGAATAGACCAAGACAAACAAGCAAGCAACAGCTGTTTCAAAGCCGACGCGCCCAAAGTGAAAGCGAGCATGCAGCTTGGTGACAACTAGCTAACTAGCATCCCTTGACGCAGCCGGAGCACATGGCACATTGCTCTGCGCTCGCGTCTTCTTTCACCCCCGGCCAACGAGGTGACAGACGACATCACGTCGGTCTGCTGGGAACAGGAGCACACAGCAAAACATGATACGAACCAGAATTGACACAACAGGCACATGACGGTTTGTGAAAATGTCTTTGTCTGGTTTGGTTGATAAATCGTAATTCCATGCGTGCCGCTTCATACTGGAATTTTGATAAATATGACTTACCGTCTGAAACCCTGCATTTTATCTTTTTGTTTGAAACCGAAGCTAAAACCTGCAGGAAACGCTAACGCACATCCATACGGAGTGGGAGCCGCTGCTAATTAAATTCAAGCATTGTTCATCTGCTGCAAGGCTTGTCGTTGCCTTTGCTGGCACTGTTGCTTTTGTCAAACAGAAAGGAAAAACTCAACTTCTCTGACGGCGACTGGGTCACGGGTCAGCCAAAGCGGCTTTGTGCAACTTGTGCTAGCGCATTGCTAGCGGGGATCTAGGGGGTAATTTTACGTATAATTTCGAAAAATTGAACGACAAACTTAAGAACATAGGAACATGGCTGAATAGCGCAGAAATTCACTAAGACATCCTTATATTTTTTATTATATCTTCATGTTGAAATACGAAGCAGTCGGCAACACATACAAAAACTTGAGAGCAGGCGGAGGCGGACGAAAGGTAGTGTAGTGGGAGAGGAGTGGTGTCAAAATGCTGCGCCCCTAAGATGATACACCAAAAACGTTTTTGCGCAGTCTAAGATGATTTTATCCAGAGCATGACTGCATGACACTGTGTCTTGTGCTGCGTGAAATGATGCACGAAAAGGTGGTTTTTTAAAACCCCTTTTTAAGACCCCTTGCAGCAACTGTTATTGAGGCTGAAGCATACCAATTATGCTGGACTACAGGGACATCTCCCTCATGGAAAGTGTGCCTCTAATGTGGGGGCCCGTGACCGCGTCACCCGTGGGAATTGAACCCATGACCATTTTCGGGGGGGGGGGGGCCCCCCTTATAATTGATATCCAATACATAACGGCGAGAATTCCATGAATTGCACGGGCTGGCCCCCCAATACCCCCTAAGCTTGTGCTGAAGCACGGAGAACTCAGGTAGCTGACGCTACCTTTCGTGATCTTTCAACATGGCTGTTAAAAATAACTAGCGCATACTAGCGCAAACCTAGCGGGTTTGCTAGCGCTGCCTTGCAGAATTGGTGAATTTAGTAGTTGCGTGCCGCCTCATAACAAAAAGGAAAAACCACTAGATTCACACTAATTGTCAACAAGTATAGTGACGGACACCCAGTTAGAACCTATTTTGGAAAAAAAAAAACGGACTTCGTACATCTGGCCGGGTTCTTACTCCCTGAGTTAGAAGCTCTAAAATTAGTCGCAGTTAGAACCCCACATTTCATATACCACATATGCTCCTGCCCTTGTACACACTCACAGTTAGAACCCCTTTTAAGCATACATATATTCACAAGTATACTTATATAATCATGTATAATATTATCGCTACTCTTGTATATGAACCGATGTTGTGCAAACTCACATATGTATCTGCCCTCGCGAACCCACACACTTAGAACCTGGTAACCTCGTTTGTGCCTGTGTTGCGCACGTCCGGTTGTTTGCAGCCATTTCTTGTTTGCAAGTTCGCGAGATTGTTTTGTTTCGGCATGGCGGACCCGCCCTTGCCGCCTCCTATAGACTCTCCCGGTTCGTTGGCCGATGGCATGGGAATGTTGCTTGATGCATTTTAGCATCATGTCGCGTATATATATATATTTACTATATGTGTCAAAAGGTGAAAATATTTGCCCATGTGGTTTCGGAATGTTTCATGCCTTGCAGTGCAATAATTTTTGTTGTTTTTGCTTAATTGAGGCTTGGGGAAGACAGCGCGATTACCATGACAAAGGACCAGCAGAAACAGGAGGACACGTTGCTTTGCTGAAATACATTTTATGTGGATGGCTTCATCCTTCCTTATCAGATAGACAGACAGACAAACAGACAGACAGAAAAACATATATATATATATATAAACCAACAAACAGATATATATATATATGTATATATATATATACATAGTGACATGGCACATATAGGTGAATTTAAAAGAGATAAATCGAACCTTGGGATCTGCATGGATGCTGTTGGGTGTATGCTGGTTTGCTAGTTTCGTGTGCAGTGGGGTTCTAACTGTGGGCATCAGCATAGGCACACACACACAACACTGCTACATGATACATGTGAAAACACAAGGGTTTTCAACGAATGAGAAGATACCGTTTTGCTGTCATAGAAACTTCAATCTTATATATATATATAGATATATTTATTCACTGTAATCTATGTATATTATATATATATGTATGCGTATGTATTCGTTTATTTGTTTATAGGATGTTATTTTTGTTGTTGTTCAGTGTGGAATCTGCATTGGCAAAAAGGGGTTCTAACTGTAGGTGCTCTAGAGGGCACATGGATCACGTGGCAAATCGCTGTGTGTTAGAATATGGGGTGTCTTTTTCATTGGGAAAAACGATATTGATTGAATGTTATGATTGTTATAAAAGAAACAAACTTATGATCTTATGTTTGCCAAAACTAGCGGTTTTGTTTCCTCTGAACCATCTTGGGATGATTGTTGGTGGATGTTGTTGGGCAGGTTTCAAGAAAGCGCAGGGAGGTTCTAACTGTGGGCACCCCACAGGCACACACACACACACACCCACCCATGCACGCACACGCGCACAGATTGTGAACGAACGCAAGGGGTTGAACTTAAAAGAAATGAGGCGTGGTCCAACCGTGTTCTTCCAAGGCTTATGGCCGATGGTGCTCTTTGCCAAGAGGGTGCTACTGCAAAAGTGCAATCGAACCTTGGGATCTGCATGGATGCTGTTGGGTGTATGCTGGTTTGCTAGTTTCGTGTGCAGTGGGGTTCTAACTGTGGGCATCAGCATAGGCACACACACAACATTGCTACATGATACATGTGAAAACACAAGGGTTTTCAATGAAGGAGAAGATACCATTTTGCTGTCATAGAAACTTCAATCTTATATTTTGTATATATACACATTTTTTCACTTTAATTTATGTATATTATATATATATATATGTATGTATTTGTTTATTTATTTATAGGATGTTATTTTTGTTGTTGTTCAGTGTGGAATCTGCATTGGCAAAAAGGGGTTCTAACTGTGGGTGCTCTAGAGGGCACGTGGATCACGTGGCAAATCGTTGTGTGTTAGAATATGATGTGTCTTTTTCATTGGGAAAAACGATATTGATTGAATGTTATGACTGTTATAAAAGAAACAAACTTATGATCTTATGTTTGCCAAAATTAGCGGTTTTGTTTCCTCTGAACCATCTTGGGATGATTGTTGGTGGATGTTGTTGGGCAGGTTTCAAGAAAGCGCATGGAGGTTCTAACTGTGGGCACCCCACAGGCACACACACACACACCCATGCACGCACACGCGCACAGATTGTGAACAAACGCAAGGGGTTGAACTTAAAAGAGATGAGGCGTGGTCCAACCGTGTTCTTCCAAGGCTTATGGCCGATGGTGCTCTTTGCCAAGAGGATGCTACTGCAAAAGTGGAATCGAACCTTGGGATCTGCATGGATGCTGTTGGGTGTATGCTGGTTTGCTAGTTTCGTGTGCAGTGGGGTTCTAACTGTGGGCATCAGCATAGGCACACACACAACATTGCTACATGATACATGTGAAAACACAAGGGTTTTCAATGAAGGAGAAGATACCATTTTGCTGTCATAGAAACTTCAATCTTATATTTTGTATATATACACATTTTTTCACTTTAATTTATGTATTCTGTATATATATATGTATGTATTTGTTTATTTATTTATAGGATGTTATTTTTGTTGTTGTTCAGTGTGGAATCTGCATTGGCAAAAAGGGGTTCTAACTGTGGGTGCTCTAGAGGGCACGTGGATCACGTGGCAAATCGTTGTGTGTTAGAATATGATGTGTCTTTTTCATTGGGAAAAACGATATTGATTGAATGTTATGACTGTTATAAAAGAAACAAACTTATGATCTTATGTTTGCCAAAACTAGCGGTTTTGTTTCCTCTGAACCATCTTGGGATGATTGTTGGTGGATGTTGTTGGGCAGGTTTCAAGTTTTCAGGAAAGTTGAGGGAGGTTCTAACTGTGGGCACCCCACAGGCACACACACATGCACAGATAAATAGCATGGTCTGGTGTCAAATGAATGGTTGAACCAGTAAATTATAGACCATTTACACTTTTATATTTA